GACCCACAGAGGTCCCTTCCAACCCCTACTATTCTGTGATTCTGTGATTCAGAAAGAACTCATCTTTCTACAAAGAGATCAATACAGCTACACTCCAAATCTCATCCCAGTAAAAGCAACTTAGAATAATAATCCCTTCATTTGCAAGAAAAAAAGCAACACATTGCAACTTAAATTGGAATGCTGATGACACAGTAGCAGCTACAAATAAAGAGACCTGACAGAAGGGTTATCAACTTGCAAGCATGAAAGGCTTCTAAAATCAAGGATTAGTTCTTCAAGCAAGAGTTCATTTTCCCGTGTAGAACCTCTTGTTTCATTGTCCCCGACTAAGTCTTGCACTTCTTTCACAAATTGTGTCACACTATCATCCTCCTTTTGTTGATAAAACAAGAATAAGGAGGAAGTAGGATTGCAAGCTGCTGCTCTGTGAGGTAACTTTTTACCACAGGGACACTACTGAAAGACAGCCACGGATTAGAGCTTAACCTCATTTCAGAAAGGTTGCTTTAATTAAAGAAACAACACTTATATAGGTTGATCAACCTCATCTATTGGTAGTTCTGGAACAGCAGTGGTGAAAGGTCAAAGGTGAAACACTACGAATTAATTAAAATAAAACAATTACAAGACTGAAATCTTACAATCATTAAAGGTAGAAAAATACCACATAGACTTACATTACCCTTGATACAACTTCCTAACACCAAGATCCTCAGTCTCTCCAGTTGCTGGCACGTGCACACACAAGTAACTACTCACAGTAACACTCCAGCTGCTGGGACAGACATCTGTCCCAGCTTACACACCACCACACAGTGACACACACGCTGCAGGTCCCTGCAGTAACTGGGCCGACACCACAGTCTGTCCAGTAGCTTGCCCTGCATCCTCCATCTCCCTTGCTGTCTCACTCACTGCCAGACACACATCAATGGGTCTCTTGGGTGACCCAAACCCCACGGTCTCTCCTGCAGCTGGCTTGGACATCCTGGTTCCTCCAGTAGCCAGCTTCTCCAGCTGACTCACTCTGAGACACACAAACACACAAATATATGTATACCTGGCTCACTTAACCTACCCCCAGATAGTCCAGCTTGATATTTGCTAGTGACAGACACCAACACTCACCTGCTGCCAGTCCAGCACCCCAGGCACACTGGCCCCTCTGACCCATGCTCTGACTCCAGTGGCTGTCACTTAGACCTCCGTACCCACAGGATACAAAGAGTCTCACCCAGGAAAATAGTTAGAAATGGAACACGGGATACATCATGCTGATCAGACACAGGGCACGGGGAGTCGTACCAACCAACCTGTTTATATGCAGCCAGTCCTTTTTAAACCCTTATCTCTCAGTCTTCTCATATCTATTCCTCCCCAAATGACGTTGGTCCCCACCTCTCCCCACCTTTGGTTCCTCCTCTAAAAATCCTGTAAGTCTTTTATGATTCCAAAATGCTCCTCCCTGCACCCCATAGTAAGTCCCAAGCACTTGCAGGCCACAACCCTCTTCAGCCTGCAGAGTGGTCCAGAGTATCCCTGACTCCTGGTGCCAGGTGTCCTCGTCCTGGCCCATGGGGCTGAGGCTGGGGACAGCCCTGGCAGGAGCTGGGTCAGGGGCTCGCTTCCCCGGACTGGGTGATTGGGATTCCCCTGCCTGCTGTTGGGCCTCTGGGCTCCTTTGCGTGTGTGGAGATGAGCCTTTCCTCACACAACTTAACATAATCTGCTCCTGTCTCCCTTCTTCCTCCCTCTCATCTCTCTTTGAAAACATTCTGTTTCTCTTATTTTTTTTTTAAACAGGGACACAAATACTAGATTTATGTCCTTTTATACTACATGTGATTAATGTACTGATGATTTCCACACCCAGTGCCTCATTATTTTGGAAGTGACATCTCAGTGGGCCCTTCTCCAAGGCTTCTCAAACTGTGCTCCAACCATACGCCCTAAGCAAAAGTTTAGTGCCCTCTCTGCTGAACACGACAGTTTTGCAAGCTTTTATGTAGAACGTAATCAATATGAAGTATTAACTGTACCTGTATTGAATTTATCCTGTCATCTGTTGCTCACTTCAGAACACCCACTGAGATCACATATGAAACATCAGGACAAAGGGCAAAGTCATATCACGTAGTTTCTACACCACTTCATCCTGTTATTAGTTTTATGTGTTTGAGAAAACAGAGTAAATGACTACTTAACGCAATGATGTGCCCCTTTGAAATGTTCTATATTTGACACACAACACATCTTGTTTAGTATCTCTCCAAATGCTGTTTTATTCCCTCATACGCAAAAAGAAAACTGTTCAATATAGTTTTCTACTATAGTCCATGCGTGAAAGCCATTATTTCCATTCATAGTCCTTTCCTTGATGTGTACATCACCATGAAGTATTTGTGACAGTTAACTTTTAACCTAACCTATATACTTTTATTCACCTTATTTCTATGACAAGAGACCTCACATCAAGGATGGAATAATAATATGGAAACTAACCATTTAATCCAACTGCACATATTTTACTGGAGTCTTATTACTTCCATGTGTAAGAGGAAACTAAAGCCAACTGCAATCTCCAATTTTTGGCATTCCCAGTATGCATTGTATCCAGCAAAAGAGAATTTCACTTTTCATTTTTATTTTTACAGCACAGTAATATTAGACATATGGACTTAACTTGATCATTTAGAGATCAAGTGTTTTAACTGAATAAAAAAAGCAAGGTCTTTACTATGCCTAAAGCAATACTGTTCTTTCAAAAGTTGTAATGCTTTTTAAATATTATTCTCTTACTCTTTTGCAGCATGAATATTCTTAAAAATACCTGGGATCAAAATTTCAGTACAGATGATAAAATCTTCAAGAATGGTTAAAAAGAGTAATGACAACATGGTTATAACAGATTCATCTCAACCAATTTACATGAAAAAAACCTCGCCATGGATAAATTCAATGCCAAAGAGTTATATTCAAATTTATTCTGAGGTAACATGTGTGACAAATTGACTAATATTTCTCAAGACACACATCCTAGTATCCTAAAAAATATGCACATTAAATTGTGAGCTACTACCATGAAAAAAATATTTGTTTTCAGTATGAACAAAAATAAATAGTCCTTTATTAAAGCACTTTAAACTTTGTTTTCTAAATAAGTGATATTTGTTAAGACACATCTCCAATACGAAAACCAGCCCCAAGACGGATCAATCACGTAAGTACCTTTCTTAGAGGAGGTCTGAGGAGATTAAAAACTCATTTTGTAGTTTCAGCAATATATTGAGCGTCCCATGTTCTTCCAATATTATTTACTGATTTTTTTCTTTTCAGCTCACCTTTTTCTCCAACACATATGCTTTCCTTTCCTATGACAGTAAATTATGAGATTGCTGCACAGCTTAAAACAGTTTTCTCCTCAAGTGTTAATAATAACACAAGACACTATAAGACATGCCCTTTTGGTTGAGTTTATTTCACATTTTTGTAAGAATTTAAGAAATATCACTTTCAACGCTCACAGTTGGCAGAACCTTATGACTTTACTAGACCTATTTTAATCAAAGAGGCTACCTATAAAAGAAGGGAGGTCAATTACTAACTACTTAGAAGGATGTTAATTATTTAGTTCTTAATGGATAAAAACTTTTTGTAGAAAAAAAAATGAATGACCTTCATATATTAAAATTCACACAATTACTCTTTAAAATAAGTTGTATCACAAAGATCAAGAAACATAGTTTTCTGACTCCTTATGCATATTTAATTCAAAATTACTTTCCCAGAACAATTACCCCTACTCCTCTCTACAAAAAGGATAATTCCCAAGCCTTAACTACTGCCTGTCAGGTTTATATTTCATGACTTTCAAAATCCCATTTCTCTCTAGTCCTATAATTTAACTACTCTAAGAACAGAATTGGAAAATAGTAATCAGACAGTGATGGACACAATTAGTTTAAACGTTTCTATAAAACAGTATCACTAATGTGCACAGGAAATAAATTAAGGGGAAAATCTGTATGCAAGTACAGATATAAAACGTGTCAGAAAGCTCACAAGGACTTCCCAAGAAGTCAAAATGTAATGCTCCAGACAGCTGATACTGATGTACATCTCAACCTTTGAAAGCTGTTCTGTGCATACAAGCTTTATGCACATGTGAGCATCACCACAACTACACACGAACCGACGTCGCAGACTGCTTTCCTCATAAGTCTCTGAACGTGAAGTCTAACACCACGCTATACTGTACTGGACCTGAGCACTTTTTCTGTGTCTGATTTCAATATTCCTAGAATGTATTTTTAAGAAGCTTCAGGGATAAAAATATAAGAAAGGTTAAAAAAGTACATTAAAACCAGGCTACACATAAATATTTTTCCTTTGCATCTGACAGTGCATCCTCCCTGCTTTTCAGAGAAAGTTAAATTTTCCAGCTTAGCAGATGCTATGCACGGTGCCTGTAGCCACACGGTTTCTCAGCTGTTCAGATACAGTAATGCAAGCATCCACAAAACAGAAATTTAATAAAAATGTGAACGAGAACAACTTAAAAATAAGAGAACTCAACTTTTAATGTAATAATAAATATTCTTTGTATAGGTAAATACATTCAGCCATGCAGAAGACTTAAATACAAATGACCTGTGTACCTGAACTGTGGAACTGATTTCAGATGCAAATCCTCCTGTCAAGGGAGCCTCATGGCTAATCAACAGTCGCCCAGTCTTCACCACCGACTGAAAAGGAAAAAGAAACGGCAAAAATATAATCAAATTACAGCTCTTGTGATTTCTTACTCATACTACTTGTGGAATATGTGAAATATGTGTCATTATTAGCAGTGTTGGAATGTAGCTAGTTTTCCCCTTTTACATCTTCACTGAATGAGAAATTATACTAAAAGTCTAAATTGAGTAATTACTAGGATGTTTTTATATTTACTATAGAAGTGTTCACATCTTCCACTCCATTTTAAGCAAGTATCAAGAACAAAAACTGATTCCACTGAATATGAATTTACCCTATCAATGCAAACTGTAACATTTCTGAAACAGAATAAGGATTTTAACAAGTTAGTAAAAACTTAGGTCCTGAAAATACTAAAAGACACACATGTAAAGAAATCTTTCACTGACACATCTCTCTGCACAACCAGATCTGAAGTCATGAATCATAGCTATTCAGAAAGCAAAAATGTTGTATAAAAATTTAGCAAGAAAACAAATCATGTGGATTAATGCTGCTTATTTAAGTTTTACATGGCAATTAGAAGCAACATTTTCTAATTTTAAAACTCAATGTTTGTGCAGTTTTTATGTGATCTACTTTATAAATAAATACAGAGTACAATATATACAGAAGGTGATCTAAGTATATTTTAACCAAAAGACAAACCTGGTTCATTGTGAAACACAACAATGGAAGCAAAACATTTTTAGTCTGATGGGAGTATAAAGCTTCACCACACCCAAACATCTTGAAGTTCATTGCAACTACATGCTAAGTTGCCTAGAATCACACAATATCAGATACCTTTCATCAGAAATATGGCAACAAAGTCTCACTTTTCATAATACAAGTTTTATAATTTCATAAGGTGCATAAAAAAAGTTTCATGAACTTCTAGAGATGCACATCAGAAAAAAAAAACCAGAATAAGGGCTGTGTTAATCTGTAAAAACAGTTACAGTCTAATTTTCAGATAAGTACAGAGTGTTCTGCTGGTGTACCATTAGTCATCAAGCGGAAAAGCCCAAGACAGTACCAGCTATCAGGTCAAACTTTTTAACGCTGTGATCTTCAATTTAACGTCTACACCAGCACATTCTCCAGTCAGGTACCTCAATGATATCTATATAGTAGAATACATAAAGGCAATGCCTTGATTATACAGTTTTCCTTCTGACTGAAGTACTTTTCTAATTCTTTTTCTTTTCTAGCAATGACTCAATCAGTGGCTCTAAGCAGCCCATCCACAGCTGTACTGGCAAGTCATGGGCCTATAAACGAGATGATCCATATACTGTACTATGAAGTGGTTTGACAACATTCAGAGCTCAACAGGACAGGAAAAGGCATTTCAACAGTTGGAAAGTGAGCCACAGTTCTGTAGGCCGATTTCTTGAATTTCTTTTGCCAGCACTGGAAGCTCATATCTAAAGAGCAGAGGCATTAACAGCACTATAAATCTGTCCAATACATCAAAACGACAGTTCAACGAACAAAACCTACATTCCAGTTTTAAGTTGACACGATAAAACTGATACAATCGGTTTTAAGTTGCTACGGTAAAACTGATATGATGAATCAGTTTTAAAGGCTATTTTGAGAATCCTCTTTTATTTCAAACAAAGATTCTTTTGCACATATTTGTTTTGAGAGGTTCATACTCTGAAACGCTACAAGCTATTGTTAAAGTTATAGATTTGGTTTCTCAGAATTTAACAGTACGGAACAGACACTGTTAGAATGCATGTCAGAAAATCCACATGGAATCAGACCAGTAATCCAGCAGCCCAGTATCCTGTCTCCACAATGGAGATCATCTGATGTTTAAGAAAGAGTAAGAGCAGGGCCTTTAATGCGATCCTTCATTATTTCTCAGCCTCCAACTATGTTCACATTACAGGTTTCCTGAGTTCAGTATGGTTTCTTGCTCTAAGTTACTGATAACTTTTCTTGCATGAATTTATGTGTTCTCAAATTGAACCCATGTAAAAAAAAAAAAAAATTAGAAAAATCTCACTTTGGAAACCTGCTTCTCCTATATCAGAAATCCTCATTTTTACATAAGATTCCCAAGGGCGTGAGGGATTCCTTGTCTGTAGGAGCTTCTTAAGAGTGAGCAAGCAGCAGTGATCACCAAGCAATTTCATACAAGCATCTTAGCCCTGCTAAAAAGCACCGTACACGACTTCTTGTGGGAAACCATGCCAACATAGCTTTGGTGCTTTCAGTACACACCCTAGCTTGTTCAGGGTCAGCATGGATACCTGCGCCACATTGTGCCATGTAGAAATACCTTAACAATTCTTCTAATGGTTAAACCAGAATCAAAATGAGCAGAAATTAACCACTACTATGCACTGCAGAGTCCTGGACTTTAGGGAAGGATGCGAGTATTACAATTCCTGAAAATTACAGGCTCGCCTGCATCGACTTCTCCTTCACATTTAACACTTGTTCCTAAGGTACAGTGAGTCTTTCTGAAAGACATGCAATCTCAATTATGGTATTTCCAGTGTTGGCAAATGCATCACAGCTATTGGTAAGTTGTTCCACTGTTTAATTCCCTTCCCTATTAAAATTTTGCACCTTATTTTCAAACTAATTTGGCTGACTGACTTCAAGCTGCTGGTCCTTATTTGCTAGATGGAGAAGCTATCTATTATCACATTTCTGCTCTCCACGTGAATACATTAAGATTGTGATCAAATGATCTCTTAACCACACTTCTGCTAATCTAAGCAGGCTGAGCTCTAAATCTTTCACCACACAGCACATTTCCAATTCCTTCATCATTCTTACAGTACTGCCCTGAATAATCTCCAGTTTTCAATGTCCTTCTTGAAGTACACCCATCTGGAACCAGCATTCCAGCCTTTTTCAGAACAACGCCAAACACGGAGATAATGTAACCCCGATACTGCAGCTCTTGGATGTCTGAGGCCTTTTGGCCAAAGCATAACAACGTGAGTCCAGTTTCAACTGATTACTACAGTTCTCTGTTCTCAGGAAAGAGGGTTTTGTCATTAAAGGATAACTTCTTCATGGAATAAAGATGGAAATAAAGCGTGCATTTATTACTTCAAGATACTAAATTATATTTGGATATGCTGAAAAACATATTGTGTGCCTGAACCCGCTCAGTTAAAGAGCCTCTCCTTTTTATCAGTGACTGTCTATTTTATCTATTTCTCCAGCTGTTTGTTACTCCAACTTATCAGTAACACTTTTAAATATTTTCCATATCTTTGACAGAAATAATAAAAAAAAAATAAAAATCAGACTCTGCAGAGCCTCAGTGACTTTACTATTTCCATTCACTAGCACTGCCTTTACATGACATACAGTTAAAGTCAACGCAGCACTAATACCTTACTTCTTAACTGTGTTAATTTGTTTTGTGAGCACTTAATTATGAATTGTTGATCGTATATTTCAAAGTTATTTCTCCCTGCTTGCCTTGCTTCTTCCTTGCTAATTTTTTCACAGTTTCATAGATTATTTTTTGTAACCGATTTAGGACACAGTTTGGGAGTGGTTTGGGGGGGGGGAAGGGGGTTTTTTTGGTGTTTCTGTTTTGGTGGGGTTTTTTTTGGAAAAAACACTCCATAAGGTATCAAATGAATCAATTACTAGTAGAAAGATATTTTGGTTCATCAAATATATCGAATCTCCGTATGCCCTCTTCAATTTAATTATTATATTGCTTTCTCTGTCTTACAGATAACAGTACTATACAGTACTAGCAGCAGCCAATAGCAAGTGATGTGATTTTCTTCAGCAAATTTTGTAAATATATATTACCATGTAAAAATGTTTCAGACCATAGAGCTTAGAAGAGAGTCGTAGCCCATGGTGAGAAAGCCCAAACTTTTCCTACATTGGTAGTGTTCTAGAAAGGCTAACATTTAATTCCTGTATCTTAATCTTATTTCCTGGAAATAAAATCGTTAATCACTTAAAAGGGAAAATTTTAAAAGTAACTGCTCTACAGTCTGTAGGGCACAGTGGACATTGCTAATGATTATTTTCAGATATCAATGCTCTTCCATAAAACATTAACCTATTTTTTAAAATATAAACTATAAAACATTATTCCATGTCAGAACAAATGAGGCAAGCATTCAACCTCCAGGACAATCAAAGTCCAACAGTCAGAATAGCATTTACAGTCCAAATAAATACAGCACAGTAGCATCCAGCAATGGGGTCCTCACCCTTCAAACTTCATGGGAAATACCACTGGCATAAACCCAAAGCAAACAGTGATTAAATCAGCACAGTGCAACAAACTGGTCAGCATAGAATCCTACCATTTTATCACCTTTTGAAAAGGTGGATAGTTGGCATGGGTTTGGGGTTGTTTTTAGAGAAAAAGATGGCCTTTCAAGCAACGATGTGTTTTGTCCCCTCAGCCAGAGACTTGTTGAATTTCTGTAAGGGCTTGATTCTCCTCCGTTTCCCCAACATCCCCGCTCTGTCTTCCAAAATCCCAGTCTTTGCACTACTTCTTACCTCAGTAAGACTAGAATTTTGAAACACATGCACATTCTGCATCTCATACAGAGTACTTTTAAAAATGCATTTTCAAAAAATATGGTGTGGCTTACAAGATTGTCACTGATAAACATGTTCCTTCTTCACATCTACAACCAGAAGTTGTTATTTGCTGATCTTTAAAATCCAAAGAGACTTCTGAGGTCACTAAGAGATTCTGCAGGTATCTCCTATCTCATAATAACTTAAAATGGAAACTTTTTGTTGCCATCTTCAGTAACAGATCATAGAGGGCAGTCAGAAGCAACATCTGGGCATTTAGAGAGCATGGCTCCTGTTTGCGTCACAATCACTCTGCACTTTCACAGCTGAGTTCAGTTGATGCAACCGTGGTTGCTCCCAGAAGGGAGAGGTCCTTCTTTACCCTGAATCTTCTGTTCCCAGCCCATCCCTGACATCTCCTCAAACATTGAAGGGGCCGTGGGATAAGCCGGTTGAAAGAGATAATCCCATT